CCCGAGGCCTCTGGAGATGTCTTAGATCCTCATAATGCTGAGAAGGGTTCAGTTTAACATTCTTAGTCATTGCATAATGACTCACACACACTTTCACATAAATTTACACTCATACACATCCATGCTCACATATACACTTCCATACACCCCCCCCCCCAAATGCCTTAGCCTTGAAATGCCCGGTGCTGAGCTTTCTTCCAGGCAGGGAGAGTTCAGAGTTTCTCTTTGCTTTTGCTGTTTCAGCCCTTGGTCACTGGGCAGGCAGCTAGAATTCGAGTCAAATTGCAGACAGCGACAACAAGCAAGGGGAGCACCGATCCCATCCCTGCCTTTTGCTGCCTACATGACATTGGGCAACTCTCTTCACTGCTCTTTGTCCCCATGAGCTCATCTGTAACAAGCGAAGGCCGGCCTCAGTGGCTTCCCAGAAAGCACCTCTGATCCGTGATCCTCCGGGCCCAATGTTGCCCATGTTGGGGATGGAGGCGCTGACACCAGGCTCTGGGAGCCTTTGTTCTCGAGTGGCTGGCTATGATGCGAGTTCTATGACCTGTTTAGACAAACTAACTGGTTACTGATGGCTGAGACAAACATAGGAATGAAGGAATCAAACCTGGGAGGAGAGAGAGAGAGAGAGAGTGTGATGATTCAGAGACAGGAAAACCAGCCTCTGTTTCCACAGCCAAATCACTGAACTTCCTCACCAGGAAAAGGAGAGGCTTGGTTTGGAGGCCTCTGAGGCTCTTCTGGAGCTGCATCTGGGTCCCTATGGCCTCTCTGGGCCAGCTTCCTCCTCTGTGGAATGAGTAGGAGTGACTAGATAACCTCTAAGACTGTTCCCCTCAGCCTCAGTTCTATGGTCCTGACCCCTCCCTCCAGCCTTCCATCTGATGGTGGCTAACATCATCATCCCATCACATTGGGTGCGGAGGCAGAGTCACCTTTCCCTTGTGCCTTAGAAGAGAACAAGAGAAAAAAAGTGGAGGGCATTCTCTGACTCCATTCAGTCATCTGGGGCTATGCAGCCTCAGCCTCTTCACCCAGCAGAGAAAGTCCTGTTCTGCAGGGGAAACCCTGCTAGCCATTCACCAAATGGGTGACATTGGGCGTCAGGAGCAGGGAACCTCCCTGGGTTTCAGTGACCACATTCCTCCCCTGGAGCAGCTTGCATAAATGTTTTTTCCTCCAATAACATCCTCTATCAGCATTTCACCGCCCTTTGTAACTGCATTCATTTTATTCTAATTTGTAATTAACTTTTACAAAATTAAATTGGGAGATTGAAAATGACTATCCCAACATAAATAACCCGGCTGCTGGCTGCGACAGGTTTAACACAATCAACAATACAATTCATAAATGAAAGAAATGTTGTCACACTTATTACTTTTGTGTGCTCCATCTTTTAGAGAATATTACAGTGTAAATTGAAATTTTATATGATTTAATAAACCTCAAAAAGATATTATGGCCAAGCAACCACATAACTGTACCAAACCATGCCGCTCACTCATTACAGGGCCCTCTGTTCACTCTGGGCTCTTTTTCATTATCAAAGCTTCCTCTTTGACAACACAGAGACCATTAAAATACCTTGGTGAAAAGTGGGCCAGCTGTACTACAGGATGCCTAGACCTCTCCTGTCCTGGAAGATAAGCACCGGCTTTGATGATATGGGTATGTACCATACCTTTATTCATTCATTCATCCATTCATTCATTCATTCAGACATCCATCTATCTATTCATGTGTTTGTCTCTTTGTTCTTTTATAGATCTATTTGTCCATTTATTTATTTATTCTGACAGTAAATCAGGAAGACAATCATATCTGAGGGATGAATTTGTCATGGGCACATGATCCGTGGTCCCCGTGGAGCCACAAGCCACAGTCCACCTAGGGGATCCATAGGTTCATCTCTTCCACACTCCCACCCCCAAATCATCATGACAGACACTAAAGGGGAGTAACTGAAACTGCAGCAGGGAAGGAAGGTTTACTGCCCTTCTGATCTTTACCTGTTTTTATAGGGTTAGGAATGTTGATGGAAGGAGTCTTTGTTTTTCCCAGCAGTAGAGCTCATATTTGTAGGTAATTGCCATTTTTTCTAAAGGTTTCTAGCTCACCTAGGAATTCATTAGGCGTGGAGCAGAAAGAGTCGGGGATGCGGAGGCCTAGCAGAGACGTCCCCAATCCCCCTTCCCAGTAACCAGGAAGAACACCCCGGACCCAGCTCCTGTGGCTAGCATGGCAATCCTGAGCATCACAATTCAGAGCAAGGGACTGCAGTATTTGCAATCTCTGCTCACATATTTTTATTTCCTCAGGAGCTGGGCATGACTTTCCGACCTCTGAGCAATGTGTGAGACAAACTTAATGACTTGTTTTATTGCTGCCTGCCATCAATATTTATCTGTATTGACGAAAGAAAACCATTACTCGAATTGCAGCTTCTGGCCTGAAAGTGCTATGCAATAATTCTTCAAAAAAGAGAGAGGCAGTTCCCCAAATTTCATGAGTATTCATATGAATAGAAAAATGGAGCTCCAGTTTCATTCAGCAAGAACTGGAGGACCTTCCTCCTTAGATTGCAGAGACCGGGACTAAGAAGACGGAAGGCCCTGGAAGCAATCATGTGTACTCGATCTTACCTCTTCAGTGGTTACAGCACTGAGCCTGGAGTCAGGGAGACCCATTTTCCTGAGTTCAAATCTGGCCTCAGACACTTACTAGCTGTGTGACCCTGGGCAAGTCACTTCACCCTGATTGCCTCAGTTTCCTCATCTGTAAAATGAGCTGGAGAAGGACATGGTAAACCACTTCAGTATCTCTGCCAAGAAAACCCCCAAGAGTCACACACGACTGAAATAACTGAATTCTTCAGTGGTTCCCTGTCACTTCTAGGATAAACCACAGAGTCCTCAGCCTCACATTAAAGTCCCTGGCAGTCTAGCGGCCACCTGCCTTTCTAGCCATGGTTTACCTGACTTCACTTCACACACGCTGCATCTGAATCAAAATGGACAACTTGCTGTTCCCCTAGACTCACCATTCCATCCCCACCTCCACACCTTTGCCTAGGCTGTTTCCCAGATTTAGAACATGCTCTCTTCCCCACTTAGATTCTCAGACTCCTTACCCTTCTTCAAGGACTATATTTGGCTGAAACCTCCTGTTCAGGACGTTGTCAGGGCTTTCTCCTTCCTGGGACCACTGTCCCTATTCAAAGAATCACATATTTGTTTTTCTGAGATCTTCAAGGGCAGAGACTACAGTGACTTTGTCTGTATCGCCAGCACCTAGGACAGCAGCTTGCACACGGTAGGTGCTTAATAAATGCTTGTGGAATCAAGTAAGTGTTGGCAGTGTAGCACAGAAGAAAAAAAGACATTGAATTTGGACTCACTGGGCCTGGGTTCACACCCTAGCTATGCCAAGTATTACGGGCATTACTTCAACGCCTGAGCCACAATTTCCTCATTTGGAAAATTAAGGGACCGGATGGCCTTGAAGGTCCTTTCCAGCTTTAAATGTAGAAACTCATAAAGAAGTCCCCTTTTTAGTGGTGAGCTGGGCATGTAAAAAGCAGGCATCACCTTGGCTTAGGCAGCTCAAAAGGACCTACTTTTGACCACTGGGGGAAGGGGCAATGATTGGCAGAGCTGGGATTTGAACCCAGGTCACCCAACTCCAAATTCAGTGTTCTTTTGTCTGTCCACCCCACTATCTTCTGTTCAATTTGCTAAGGCTTTATTATTAGTTTTATTCATTTATCTTATTCATTAATTCATTAGTTCATTTTTTAATGTATTCATTCATTTTTATTTCATTTGCTCACTTTATTTCATTCACTTTTATTTATTTGTTCATTTTTATTTTATTCATTCATTCATTCATTCATTTTTATTTCATTTATTTATTCACTTATTTATTTACTTGGTAGTGCCAGGATATCAATTGGAATATTCAGGCAATAAATCTTCAGGCAATTGGGTGGCTTGGGTGGTTTTTCATTTTGTCTAAGCTATTTGGGTAATTGCTTTAATTCTGTTCAGGAATTTTGTTGTTTTTGTTTAATTGGTTTCAGTTGTATCTGACTCTTCGTAACCCCATTCGGGGTTTACTTGGCAAAGATACTGGAATGATTTGCCATTTCCTTCTCTAGCTCATTTTACAGATAGGAAACTGAGAGAAACAGGGTGAAGTGACTTGTCCAGGGTCACACAGCTAGTAAGTATCTGAGGCTAGATTTGAACTCAGGACCTCCTGACTCCAGGCCTGGCACTCTATCCACTATGCCACCTAGCTGCCCCCTCTTCAGAAATACCCCTGGGGACATCAATGGCCTGAGAAAACCAAAGCTTGAAATGTATAGGGCTTTTCTTGTGCCTGGACAGATCCAATCACTTTCGCTAAGCGCCTTTAAAAACATTCTCCATTTTGATCTTAATGAGGGAGGGAGCAACGAGGGAAAAGAACACAGGTCCTGGAGGCAGGAGTGCCAGGGGCTGGATCCTGCCAGGGTCTGACTCATGTGGCCCTGGGCAGGCACTGCTCTACAGCAAACATTGCTTGGTTTCTCCCTCTATAAAGAGAGGAAGTTGCACTAGAGAGACGGTCTCTAAGATGAGCCTTCCTACCGCAAGATGCTATGACTTCTGGCTCCTTCTGCCAAGTCCACAAACCAGCAGGCATTTATTGAGCCCCTACTGTGTGCTGGGCACCATGAGGAGACAGAACCAAAGAGTTTGTCACTTGGTGAAGGTCACTGATACAATACAACAAAAACAGTTGATGAAGGCAGTATGCCAGAGTGGCCGCTGGGTCAGGAAGTCCTGGGTTCAGGTCCTGCCTCTGACAAGCTAGTTGGATGACCCTGGAGCCTACCCTGAAGCTCTCAGTGCCCCGGGTGACTCCTTCAGACTAGAGATAAGCTGCTGCAGTGCCTCAACAAAGGAAGATTCCACCCTAGAATTCTGTGTACTTCCTGGAATCACAAAGCAAGTGCTGGCATGTATACACTACCTTACAGTCAGCAAGAGGTTTATATGCATTGTCTCCTTTGAGCTTCACAAGAACCCTGGGAGGTAAGGGCTCTTATTATCCCCATTCTACAGATGAGGAAACCGAGGCAGACAGTTTCAGTGACTTGTTCAGGGCCACACAGCTAGTAGGTATCTCAGTTTGGTTTTGAACTCAGCTCCTCTTGACTCCAGGTGTGTGCTCGCTATGGCACTCCCTAGCTGGGACCCAAAGTTTTCTGACTCCTGGTCAGGTCCTCTTCATTACACCTACCTGCCTCCAAAGATGGGCTCCTTCTCTTCTTCTCCCCATCATCAGTGGCCACCATGGGTGTCCTTGGCATTCTCCATTGGTTCTGAAATGTACTTCCACATCTCTATGGGCCATCCTGGCAAGGGAATTAGCTAACCCTCAATTCATAATGTATGAGGTTTACATTTTTAATAACAGAATTAGAACATCAGGGGCAGAACAGAACTACACCATTAACCAGAACACTCGGATTTTACATTAATTGAAGATTACTCACCCAATGACTCTGTCTTCTGAAATGAAGAAACAGAGGCTCAGACTCAAAAAGAGACCTCTGCTTAACATTGCAGTATCACGCTCAGAATTGGAAGGACCCTTGGGGTCATTTACTCCCCCACCACCATTATTCCCCCCACTCCTTTTACTGAGAAAAATAAGGCCAAGAGGGGTCCAGTGACTTGCTCAAGGTCATAGACCAACAGATGGCAGAGCTGGAAATCAAACCCAGATCCTCGTGGACAGACCAATTCTCCATTTTTCTAGATTCTATAACACGGCCCCCTCTCCAGTTCCCAAAGAACCGTCCAGTTCTTTATTTTTGAAACTTAAAGTGAAGGCAAGCTATCTGTGTCTTGTGATTCTGCATCCCACTTTGAGATAATTCAAACCACAGGAGATTAAGGAGAATCAAAGGCTAGGGATTACTGAATTAAGAAAGTAACAATAACGAAAAGCTCCTTTTAGATCCCGTCTCTTCTCTTCCCACATTGATTTCAGAAGGCCATCCCTTCTCACTCATGCTTTCCAGAATTCTCAGGTCCCAGGGAGGCTCAGCTCAGGAGCCTTCTCCTGCATGACAGCTCAGCTCTTCCTGACCCCCAATCGACCCCCACCCTCACTGCATTTTGCTGAAATTGCTTTGCATTTACTTGCACGTAATTTGTGTTTATGCAAAATATTTTTGCTTCAGAGGCACAGTAGATAGAGCAATGAGCCTGGAGTCATGAAGACTTGAATTTGAACCAGACACTTTCTAGCTTTGGGACCCTGGCCACATTATTTAACCTTTCCTAGCCTCAGCTGCTTCATCTGTAAAATGATGATAATAATAGTACCTACCTCCCAGGGCTGTTGTGAGATCAAATGAGATAATATCTGTAAAGCCATTTCTGAATCTTAAAGGGCTGTGTAAATGCTAGCTATTATTAGGATTATTTCATTTATTCTTCTGTTTACACTATGTTTCCCCAGAACAGAGCATCAGCTTCTTGTGGGCAGGGTCCCTTTTTCATTCTGTCTTTGTATTTGTGGCACACAGTGGGCAATTATTAAATACTGGTGGAATTGGATTTCATTGAAAGAGCTCTCTAAATGTGAGTAGTTATTATTATTTCCAGCTGTTCTAAATCATATTAATGAGCAACACTAGGGAAAAGCATGGTTTACAATGCAAGGACAGAATCACTGAAAAAAGAGGAAATATGTAAACCTCTCTTTTGACACAGCAGCTCCAACGTCCAATCGATATCCTATTTTCTCTGTGATTAATTCAAAATGAGCATTTGGCTCTTAAGGTTTTAACCAAGGTGCAATTGTAATCTTTTGTTCACTCTTCATCCTTTCAAAAGGGGTCATTCTCAGTCTCCCTGGATCCGCTTAACTGCTGCCCCCTCCTCCATTGTCCAGAGGACGTTCAGAAATCAATCAAAGCACTTGGCAATATTACGAATTTCCAAACTGGAATATGGATGCCTGGTCTTCCTGCTTTGTAGGGTAAGTAGCAGTGACAGGTATTCTGAGGATCTGACTGTCAAAACTGTTACTTACCCTGTTGTCTGCATCATAATCGGTTTCTAAGTAACACTTGGTCCCGGCAGCAGTAATAGAATTAATTATACTTCATTTTGCTGTCTTTAACAGTATTGACCAAATTTAAGAACAAATGAGAAGTGCTTATCAAGCTTGAAGAAAATAATCCATCAGTGGCACAATTTAAATTCACCACAGTTCTCTTATTAATCAAAGTAACACTTACTATCCTATCTCCACTTCCCATTAACAGTCATTAAGCACCACTGCTGATTGAAGCAATTTCTTCAGGGATCTCAACCTCATTTTTAAGAGAACCTTCTCCAGTGGAAAACAATCTCAGCCAAGAACAGCAACTCAGGAGAGAGGAAGAGCCTTCTTCAATCATGCTCTGACCTTGGAGCATCAGGACACCAGGGGGAGTTGCCTGAAGTCCCCAGCTTGGCTGTTCAGATCTTGGGGTGGCAGGCTGAATGGAAGGAGGAAGCCTTTCATCCCTCACCCCTGACCTGGAGGTTGAGCACTCAAAGGGTCCAAGCCAAGTCCAAATGGTCGTCACTGAGTCCAACGGGCAGATTCAACTTCCAGGAATGTGTTCAATACTTTTTGGCCTTTGGTTTTGCTGTTCCCTAGATCTGCAGTGCCCTCCCCATGAGGCTCCTCTCTGCCTGTGGAAACTGGACCCCACTCTTAAGACTTGGATCAAATGCCACATCCTCTGAGAAGCCATTTCTGATTAATGCTTAGTGACTGACTTCCCTCCCCATGCCCTTCAGTTTAAAATGATCTCCCCTTCCCCTGGAATTTATGTAATCCCAATCCTACACACACTTGGTGGTCTGCTGACTCAAACGTCATAGTCTCCCCGAAGACGACCTTTCCAGCCCCCTAATCCCACTCCAATGACATTTTCCTAAAGATGTGTGTCTCATTCTCTAACAGAACATCAGTCCTTCAAGAACAGGGAAAACATATGACTACTAATCACAACATGACCCCTAACCATGATATGATACATCTCAATTTTTGTATGCTCAGAACCAAGTCCAATGTTTAGGACACAATAGGGGTTTAATAAATGCTTATTGTTTAACAGTCTGATTTTGACTCCTTTATTTTGCTTTTGTGTTTCTTTCCATAGATCATTCAGTTTGTTGAATGAATGTTTATCACCTGTCCTTTCTGTGTCCTTTTTTGGTGATGGGTTATTTTTATAGCTGGCTTTTCTCTCTCCCATGAGATGGATGTCCTTGATGGCAAAAATGTATTCATTTTTGTATCTTCCTAGTATAATGCTTTACCTGTTTTTATTGGGGGTGGGTACTGGACCTGTGTACAAGCTCCCAGTGTGACAATTCTTTCCACCAGATACAGATCCCCAACAATAATTAAGTCTTAGAGATTTGTCTGGGAGCACTGTGGTGACACAGCTGGTGTGTGTCAGATGCAGAATTGAACCCAGGTCTTTCTGACTCTTCTTCAGTCAGGAAGCTACATAGCCTTTCTCTTTACACATAGTAGGTGCTTAATCACTTTTTGCTGGATGTGGTATGAGCAGATTGGAAGGCTCCTTCATGAGGGAGGATGGCTCAGGAGTGAATCCGGGGGCAATGCAGGCTGCTCCCACAGGACAATGAACCTCAGAAGCCAGTGAAAACAGTAAGTGGAGAATAAATTCAAGTGGAATTTCAGTTCTGCCTTGGACTGGACTCGTGCTGGGAAAGTCGATTTAATCCTCTGTTCCTTTCTCTGAGAAGATGACAAGTGCTGCTCCTGAGTGAGCCCAAGAGAGTTTGGACTTTGATGTGGTCTCCACTCACATCTCACCCCAACTTTCAGTTTTCTTTTATGTTTTGGCTTCCCCCACTAGCAGGCAAGTGCCCTGAGGGCAAGGATTGTCGTTCTGTTTGCTTCTTGTTAATATCCCCAGTGCTTAGCAGAAGGTGAGGCACTAGTCAGCACGGGGCCTCGAGGTCAAGATGGGTTGCCCCATCCAGTATCCTTTTGTTCCTTGGGGTTTTGAATTCAACCACATGAGCTTCTTTGGGTTTTTAATGTGACAGAAAATGAGGAATCAGCCAGAATGGGGATATAGGGGATGGCTTGGGTAAAGCTGTGCCTGCCACCCCTTTACTGTCTTACAGGTCGCTGAGCTAGTGAATTTGAGTTTTTCCATCAAGATATGCTGCTGCTGGTGGGGGGTCCTTAGGTGCAGGGTCTGAGGCCCTTGCTTCTGCTGCCTTTAGAATTCACTGGGATCTTTGTGTTGGTGGCTGTCCTCATGAACTTTTTTCTGAGCCTTTTCTTCAGGTCCATAGAATCAACTGCTTGATCAATTATCAAACATTTATTAAGTACCTGCTATGTGCCAGGCACAAGTTTACAGGCAAAGGAGACATTAGAGACTATTTATAGCAAAGTCCTTTTCTTTTTTTTCTCTCTCTCAAAGGCAATCTTTGTGGAATGAGACTTAAAATAACTATTAGATAACTGCATTTCAACACACTTCTTTGGTAATCCTATGTTATTTTGTTTTACTTGTTTAAATACATTCTGCTGAGAAGGGGTATCTAGGCTTCACCATATAGACAAGGGGGTCTATGATATAGAAAAGGTCAATGCCCCTGCTCTAGGAAAACCCATGGGGTCTGTTGTCTTTGGGGAAAATACCCGCTTAAACCCGGCAAAATCTCATAGAATTCCAAAGCTGCCTCCTTTCTCTTCCAGATCCTATTGTGCCCTGACCACCAACCTCAGTGCCATTTTCCTTTTGATGGGCAGGAAGAGAAGGGTTGGGCATGGGATGAAGGAAATCTAGGATCTTCCCTTTCACTACGAAAGCCCCAATCAAAATAAAGCAAAGACAGAAATGGAATATGTTGGGTGAATAAAGAAATAATAGTGCCCTTCAATAGGCCATCAGACCAGTCACCTAAAGGCCATTTTTCAATCAATGCAAATCCGACTTTCATGGCCACTGGTATCTCCAACAGAAAAGCTTGCTCCTCTGGTTTGCTTTCCCAGAAGCCTCTAAGCAGGTAGGTTCAGCAGAGAATGGCAACTCTTTCCTTGCTAAAAGTTAGGGCGCTCCACCCACACCTAATTTCTTAGAAGACTTTAAATATATAACGCTCATCATCAAGAAATGGAATGCTGAGCTCAATTTTGTATCAACGGAATGGCTGTGCCCGTTATAGCAGTTACAAAGGAAAATATACACAAAGGCTGAAAAACTGATGACGTTACGAATAGGAAGGTGTGCCAGCAGCTTCAAACATACAGAATGCCATTGTGTTGAAGGCATATGAATGGAGGGATTCTTGTAATATTTCACGTATACCAATGAGTTTAGCAATCACAGGGCTTCCCAATATCTCTGACATTTGCTTCTAACTGGATACATTCATTGATAGAATATGTCATTGAGTGAGTGGCATGAGGTAGTGGATTGAGCTGTGAATTGGACTCAGGATGACCTGGGTTCTAATCCTCTCAGTTACAACTGGCCAGTAATTCACCTCCATCAAGAACTGTGGATCCCAAACCTAAGGCCCTGGATTCTGACTGGTTACCATTCACCACATCTTGTCCTGATCTCAGGTCCACATGCCACTTCCTGACCATCTCCACACCCTGGTGCCATGGTATGCATTCCTTCTCCTCCATCCTGCCTCCCGCTCTAGCTCTCCTCTCATTTTCTTCATCTCAAAACCTCTTCTACTCTCTCTTTTTCCCCAATCTTTGACAAAAAGGTGGCCCTTCTTCTTGCCAAAGCCAACCCCTTTATACTTGCCCTTGACCTCCCTTGACCAAGCCCTCCCATCTTCTCCAGCAGATTGCATCGTCAATCCTCCCCTTCTCAAATCTTCAACCTTTTGTTATCTAGTATATCCTTCCCTATTGCCTTCAAAATACACATCTTCCTGATTTTTAAAGCAACCTTCACTAGACCTTACCACCCCTTCAAGCCACCATCCTCTATCTCTCCTCCCTTTCTTAGCCAAACTCCAAAGAGTTGTATCCATTGGTTGTTTCCATCTCTTCTTCTCCCCTTCACTTCTCAACCCTTTGCACGCCAGCACCTGAACTCCTTGCTCAGCTGACTGCTCTCTTCAGAGTTCGACAATCTCTTAACTGCCAGATGTTTCTATCTTCTCTCAACCACCATCGCTCTTGTCTGTGTTTGACAGTGGTGATGCCCGCCTTCTTCTCAATCCTCTCTGCTCTCCAGGTTTTCATGGTGCTTCCCTCTCCCACTTCTCCTCTCACTTCTCACTTCTCCTTCTCAGCCTCTTTGGCTGGTTCTTCCTACACTATACCCATTAACTGTGGGTGTTCCCCAAGGAACAGATTCCCTGATCCATATATCTAGCCCTGGGCTCTCCCGAGAGCTTCAGTCTCATGTCAACAATTGTCTATTGGGTATTTCAGAATGGATGTCCCTGAGACATCTTCAACTTAATATGTCCCAAACTGAAGTCATCTTTCCTTCCAAACCCACCTCTCCTCTAAATTTTCCTATTTTGGTCAAACGCATCCCCATTCTTCTAGCCTCCCTGGTTCTTAACCTTAGCTTTTTCCCAGACTCCTTCCTCTCCCTCACTCCACATATCCAATCAAGTGCCAAATCTCACCATTTCTATCTCCATCACTTCTCACATCTGACCTTTTCTCTCACTCTCCCTCCACTCCGGTCCTTCCTACACATGCTGCCTAAAGTCATTTTCTTCTTCCTCCTCCTTCTTTTTTTGGTTTTGGGCTAGGCAGTGGGGTTAAGTGAGTTGCCCAAGGTCACACAGCTAGTAAGTGTTAAGTGTCTCAGACCAGATTTGAACTCAGGTCCTCCTGAATCCAGGACTGGTGTTCTATCCACTGCACCACCTAGCTGCCCCTAAAAGTCATTTTCTTTAGAACTGACCACATGACATCCTTACTCAAGCGATTCTACTGGCTTCCTATTGCCTGTAGAATAAAATCCAAACTCCTGTTTAGCTTTTAGAGTCCTACACAAGCCATCCCTAACCTAACTTTCTAATGATATCATATTTGGACATTAACCACCCCCCACCCCCCACTCCCTTGTACTCTGTGATCCACCCAAACTGATCTTTCTGTTACTTACCCATGCCATGCCGTCTCCCATATCCAGACCTTTGCACTGGCCATCCCACACGACTAGATGCCCTCCCTCCTTACCTCTACCCCAGGGTCTCACTCTTTTCTTAGGCATCATCTTCCACACCAGCGGTTCTTAACCTCTGTGTGTGTGTGTGTGTGTGTGTGTGTGTGTGTGTGTGTGTGTGACACAGCAGTTTAGTGAAGCCTATGGATCCCTTCTCAGAATGTTTTTAAGTTCATAAAATAAAAGCACATAGGATTACAGAGGAAGTCAATTACAGAGAAATATAGTTATCAACATTTTTAATAGTTCACAGATACAAATTAAGAATTTCTGTATTTCTATGAAGCCTTTCTTGATCCCCACCCCCACCCCTAGCCCAGCCCAGTTGCTGGCGCCACCATTCCCCAAGTACCTAGTACTGAATTTCGCATGTATTTGTAATTGTTCACTTTATAGTTATGCTGGCTGTATGAACATTGTCCCCCCATTAGAAAGAGTAGGGGTTGTTTCCTTGTATTCTAGGGGCTTAGGACTGTGCCTGGCACATAGTAGGTGCTTAATGAATGCTTCTTCCCTTTCCCATATTGGCTTCTTCTATTAGGATGCTAGACCCTTGAAGGCATGGACGGTCTCTGTAGTTAGTTCCATGCCTAACACATAGAAGGTGCTTAATAATTAATTTTTTGCATACATTCAATAATCATTTATGAAGGGTTTATTATGTACCAAGAAGAGCTAGGTGCTGGGGATACAAAGGCATAAATGAAAGTCTAGTCCTGCCCTCCAGAAGCTTACATTCTACTAGATAATAATAGCTAACATTCATACAGCACTTACTACGTGCCAGGTTCTGTGCTAAGTTCTTTACAAATATGATATCATTAGATCTTCACAACAACCCTTTCTTTGCCCCCCCAAAAGCAGAAGCAATCCAAAGCAGCCCCCTGGCTATTTCCATCAGTTTTGGGAGATCATTCAT